TGAGAGTGACAGCCCTTGACATCAAGGCTACATTAGGCCAAGTGTGGCATCAAGGAGCCCTAGGCCCTGGAATCAATGGGAATCAGGGCGTAAACTCTCTGTTGGTTGTAGTTATGCCTAGCACATAGGAAGGTGATTGTGTTGTTGAAGGTCAGTCATCTCAGCTCCAGGACATCTCTGCAGGAGTTCCTCAGGGTAGTGTCCTAGGCCCAACCATCTTCAGCTGCTTCATCAATGACCTTCCTCCATCATAAGGTCAGAAGTGGGGATGTTCGCCAATGATTGCACAATGTTCAGCACCCTTGTGACTCCTCAGATACTAAAGCAGTCCATGTTCAAATGCAACAAGATCTGGACAACATCCAGGCTTAGGCTGACAAGTGGTAAGCAACATTCATGCCACACAAATGCCAGGCAATGACCATCATCAATAAAAGACAATCTAACCATAGCCCTTTGACATTCAATGGTGTTACAATCACTGAGTACCCCACTATCAACATCCTGGGGGTTATCATGAACTAGAAACTCAATTAGAGTCACCACATAAACACAGTGGCTACAAAAGCAGGTCAGAAGCTAGGAATACTGTGGCAAGTAACTCACCTCCTGACTCCCCAAAGCCTGTCCACCATCTATAAGGCACAAGTCAGGAGTGTGATGGAATACTCCCCACTTGCCTGGGTGGATGCAGCTCCAATAAAACTCAAGAAGCTTTACATCATCCAGGACAAAGCAACCCATTTGATTGGTGCCACATCCATAAACATCCACTCTCTCCACCACCAACGCTCAGTAGCAGCAGTGTGTACTATCTACAAGATGCACTGCAGAAATTCACCAAAGATCCTCAGACAGCACCTTCCAAACCCATGACCACTTCCATCTAGAAGGACAAGGGCAGCAGACATATGGGAACACCAACCCCTCAAGTTCTCCTCCAAGTCACTCACCAACCTGGCTTGGAAATATATCGCCGTTTCTTCACTGTTGCTGGGTCAAAATCCTGGAATTCCCTCCTTGAGGGCATTGTGGGTCAACCCACAGCAGGAGGACTGCAGCAGTTCAAGTGGCCAGCTCACCACCACCTTCTCAAGGGGCAACTAGGGATGGGCAAGAAATGCTGGCCAGGCCTGTGAGGCCCGCATCCCACAAATGAATTTTAAAAATTTGCCTTTTTAACAATGTTTGCATCTGTTGACAAATTTTTGTGGTTTTGTGTTCAGTCCTTGAAATCTGTCTCCTCCTCCACAGTTCTTAGCTTCTAGAACATCCTCTGATGTATCTTTATTTGGCCAAAAAAGTTGATGAGTTGTCACTTTACTGCTTTAAATATTAACAGTACACAACACATCCTTTTTCAGTTTGCAAACTGACTCCTTTAACAAGCTCTGGACTGTCTTATTTCACCCACAGGAAGTGACTGTGAATCATCAGCATTGACTGCAATATTTCAAAGACTTTTTGCTAAATATTAAAGGTCACGTAGCATGGGGTTTTTCCACTCAATTTGAAAGTAAGTTATGGACAGTTCTCAACACTTATGAGCACAAAAAGAAACCTCTTGACTCCAGAATGTGAAGGAGTTGAATTGTAGTTTTCCATTAATCAGCCATCTGCCTGAGATTAATCATTCCTTTTCTGCTGTCCTGGACATTCCAAACTACCCAGAAGGCTGTTCTTGGCTTCTGCATGAAGATAACTATCTTCATGCTTCTGCTTTATTTGTCTTCATCAATAAGTCTCTCAGGGTGCTGCTGCCTGGAGTTCACACCCTCAGAACGTGGCTCCTGGTGTTTGCCATGTTTCCAGTGAATCACAGAATCCCTACAGTGTGGAAGCAGGCCATTCAGCCCATCAAATCACCACTGACCCTCCGAGGGCATCCTACCCTGACCCAACCCCAACCCCCAACCCTGCATTTCCCATGGCCAATCCACCTAACCTGCACATCTTTGGACCAGAGCACCTGGAAGAAACCCACACAGATACAGGGAGAATATGCAAACTCCACACAGACACAGACAATCACCTGAGGGTGGAATTGAACCCAGAACCCGGGCACTGTGAGGCAGCAGTGCTGATCACTGAGTCAACCTGCCACCCATTGAGTAAGTGCTAGAACCAAAGCTACTCCAGGGTTGAGTGGTAATGTCAATAGGCCTGTAATCTTGGACTCCAGGCTCTGTGTTCCTATGTTCTGGGGACATAGGTTCGAATCCTACCATGACAGACGGTGAAATATTTATTCAACAAAAACCTGGAATTAAAGGACAAAACCTAGCTTAATGATGACCGTGTAATTACTTTGACGTAGTTGAACCACACGATTTACTAATGTCATTTAGGGAAGGAAACCTGCTGTCCTTACCCAGTCTAGTTTAAACGTGACCCCAGACGAATCTCAGTCATAGAGTCATACAGCACGGAAACAGACCCTTCGGTCCAAACAATCCATGCTGAACATAATCACAAACTAAACTAATCCTATCTGCCTGCTCCTGGCCCATATCCCTCCAAACCTTTCATATTCATGTCCTTATCTAAATGTCTTTTAAATGTTGTATCTGTATCTATATCCATCACCTCCTCAGGAAGTTCATTCCACACACGAATCACCCTCTTTGTAAAAAATTTGCTCCTCATGTCTTCTTTTTTAATTGATTAATTGATTGATTGGCGTGTATTGAAATACAGTGAAAAGCTTTGTTCTACAAGCAGTACAGGCAGATCATATTAAGCAAAGGATGTACAGATCAAAAAGATTTAGACAGAGGCATACAGGTTACATTGCACAAATCTCTCTCCTCTCACCTTAAAAATATGCACCCGATCTTGAAATCCCCCATCCTAGGGAAAAGACAACTATCTTTCCTTTCTACTCAGTGACTGTAAGAGCCCAGGGAATGGAGAGGAATCTGAGGGTCATGTTGGGAAGCTTGGAAAAACACTACCTGTGATAAGAGTTAACAAGGTGTAAAGCTGGATGAACACAGCAGGCCAAGCAGCATCAGAGGAGCAGGAAGGCTGACGTTTCGGGTCTGATAAGAGTATTTTTTTAAAACTATTTTGTCACTGTTCAAGTGGTCAGTTGCCATGATTTTACTTCAAAGGGTGTTTATCGATGCAGCGTTTTAAGGAAAGAATTTCTTTGGTCAATACGCCACTAGGTTTGAAAGATGAAAATTGGAAAGAAAGCAACACAGTGGCTCAGTGGTTAGCACTGCTGCCTTAACAGTACCAGAGACCCAGGTTCGATTCCACCCTCTGGCAACTGTGTGGAGTTTGCACATTCTCCCTGTGTCTGCGTGGGTTTCCTCCAGGTGCTCCGGTTTCCGTCCAAGTCCAAAGCTGTGCAAGTTAGGTGGATTGCTAAATTGCCCATAGTGTCCAGGGGTGTGCAGTCTGAGTGTATTAGTCGTGGGGAATCCACGAATAGAATCGGGGGTGGGGGGCCAGTCTGGGTGGGATGCTTTTCAGAAGGTTGATATAGACTGAATGGCCCGCTTCCACAAGGTAGAGATTCTATGAGGGGGAGAAAAAAAGCATCTGTGCAACATGATTGGTGGATAACAAAGTGGAAATAACAAGGAAGTTGAAAACTGAGCAGCATCCAAAAGGAGAAAAAGAATGGAGATTGACAAGATCCAAACAGCCATACCAAACCTTACAGCCAGCAGATTTCAGAATAAATAAATCAATCTATCTTATGACCAGCTTCTCATTCTCAGTAAAATGTGGGATCCTTGCTGCCTTTAGTGTAATACCTGTAATGAACACCACAAACTTGCTGGGACTGTGGCCCGATAATATCACTGAACTAACAATATGGATGCTCAGGAGAAAGACTCGGACATTGGTTCAAATGCTACCATAGAATTTAAATTCAATTAATAAATCAGAAATATGAATCTAGTCTCAGTAGTGGTGATCTCAAAGCTCTCATTGCTTATTACAAAAAAAAATCAGTTTACTAATGACCTTTAGGGAAAGAAATCTGCCATCCTTATCCAGTCTAGCAATGTGTGACTCCAGGCCCACAAAAATGTAGTTGAGTCTTAACTGCTCTCAGGGGTAATTAGGGATGGACAATAAATGTTAGCCCTACCAGCAACGTCCACATGAATAAAAGGGTAAAGTAAGGGTTAAATCTGTAAGTCTGAGAGTATTTCCCAGTAACTATCTGTAAGTTAATGCAACAAGGGTCAGCAATATCCACAATTTACAGGTCATTCTGACATTTTGTGATAATGTAGAAGCAGTATTAGATGTGTTGGCAGATTTGGCATCTCTCGTGATTGTTAGATCACAGGTCAGATTTAATAAGAAGCAGACAGAATTATTTGGGATTCAGAGAATATTAAATAACGAGAACTGTTTCATTAGTGGGAGAATCAGTAAGGAAGACACAGGTTTGAGATAACTGACAAACGATCCAGAGGAGGAGTTTGCAACTTGCTACCGTGGAAGCAGATTCAACAGTGACTTGCAAAAGGGAGTTGTCATACATACTTGAAACTTGCCGAGTAATAGGACACCAGGTTTATTTAATTCACCTGATGAAGGAACAGCGCTCCAAAAGCTTCTGATTTCAAATAAACCTGTTGGACTATAACCTGGTCTTGTGAGACTTCTGACCTTGCTCACACCAGTCCAACACCGGCACCTCCACATCATGCTGAGTAATAGGAAAAGGGCAGTAGGGGGGGTTGGAATTCATTATTTAGATCTTTTCCAAAAGCACCATGTGTTGTACAGGTAGTTCTATTATAACGCGATAGTTGCTTTCTTGTGTGACCTCACGCTGTAGAAAATTGCCATAGAAAATCGCATTATAGGGAAATCACTATACCTGTACCACAGAAAGTTTGCGTTATCCAAACAGTGTCTACTATTCATTAATCACGCTACAGCCAATTCACGTTAATGAAACGCGTGCTATAGCAGAACTACCTATAGGCATCCATGTAAACCTGACTCCAAATTCACTTTTACTCCTCTTACACAAGGTCTGAATGACTCCTACTGTATTTCAATGCCACTGAAAAGACCGGTTCAATATGATGACCTCCCCCTTCCACAGAAAGGATACTAGGGATGGTGGCGACAGTGGACACTGTCGACAGCATTATTCTAAAGCCACAAACCAGATGAGTGTGATGGTAAGGCATCATCTTGAAGGAAATGCAGCTCTGTAGTATGAGATACAAAGTTCCCATAACGAATGACAGCAGTGCCCCAATGTCATGAACTATTCTCAAAGCCGTTTCCTAAACACAAGACAAAAAAATTGAAGTGAGTTGACGAGAAATTGGAAGTTCTGGTATTGATGAAATCAGATTATTTGATCAGAATCAATAAGGTGATTTGGTAACCTGAGGGACACATCCAAGGCAACGAGTGAAAGAGCTAAAGGCGAGCTGAGGAGAATTGTGTTTTTTTTTAAACTTAGTGAATGGTTGTAATTTAGATAGTGCTGTCTGAAAGGGCAGTAGAACCAGGTTTAACAGGAACTTTCAAAAGGGAGTTGGAACAATACTTCATAAAGAAACATGTGCAGGGTTACTGGGAAAGAAGCGATTAGCTCTTTTTAAGAGCTGGCACAGGAACAATGGGTCAAATGGCCTCCTTCTGTGCTACAAGATTCTATTGTTCAAACATTGGAATGACTACTCCCTTCGCTTGAAGAACAAATAATCACCACTTTTTTTTTCAGCTATTTGCTTTGAGGATGCTGGTGATTCTGGAAACCTACCCATTTCCAAAGTTTGGCCAATTCAATCTAGGTGAATCCTTCCCAAACTGACTGACCATGAAAAGGCAACAGAGGCAAACAAATATATGCCTCACTAAAATTTTATTGAAGATTTTTTCTGAGTGGAAGCATGGGCTGTTACACTCTTCTTAACATTCGCTTTGAGAATGTCTTGACTGTTTGAAATCCTAAAAAATTCCACTTGACATTCAACAGTCAATGGCCTAATCACTTCTTGCATTCTTGTCTGACAAATAAATAATGACCCCTTGGCAGTTTTGGAGCAGAGATGAAATCCCTTCAGTCTCCAAATTTGCACCTAGCATTTATTGCAAAATTGGGGCAAATATTTAGATGGTGGATTGACCTCTCCTTCCTGCGGTATTCTAATGATGTCTCCAGCTTCTTTATGTATTATGTATTATTTAACTTTCAAGAGGCATCAAGAATCCTAGTGATTCCTAAATATTATGTAATATTCTAGCTGTTAGTCAAATGGAGAAGCATACAGATTGTAAAATATACTCCTCATTGAGATACGGGAGGTAAGGTGATAGGTTGATAATTGAGTCTAGTACTTGTAGTGAACTTTATGTACAATATATTTTGTACAGGAATGACTGTTATTAAGCACATCTGTTATCAATACATATGGAAACTTAACCATCTCCCTTCAAATATCAGCATACAATCTAGAAAGACAGAAATTTATTTAATGGGGTCAATCATTCAGTAGTTGTTGTCAATTTATCAGCTCCACGAACCTTGTCAGGAACACTAGGCACCTGGTGCATGTTCAGTAGGAACATTCTAATGGATTAGAGAACAGAACACAAATTGTAATGTACAAGCGAAAAGTGCTTTATATTGGTAAGGTTCCAACTGCAGAGTGAAGGGCTCTGGTGGCACAGTGACAGTGTCCCTTCCTCTGAAATGAAGGCCCAAGTTCCACAGTGTGCAATAACATCGTTGAATAGGTTGGTTAGAAAATATTTACAATCGCATAGTAGTTATATTATTGCACTGGTAATCCAGGACATAACTTCACATCCCACCAGAGTGACTAGGGAATTTAAATTCAGTTCATTAAACAAGTTTATGTTAAAAACTAGCCTCAGAAATGGTGACGAAGAAACAATTGGATTGATGTGAAGATCTATTTGGTTCACTCTTGCTCCTTAGGGAAGGAAATCTGATCTGGCCTAAGCTGTCCATTACAAGATTTGGTTGACTCTTAAGTGCCCCTTGAAATTGCTGAGCAAACCATTCAGGTGTATTCAAGAAGGCATGTTCTCAAGGGCAATTAGGGATGGGCAATAAATGCTGGCCTTTCTGGTGATACCCATAGTCCACAAATGAACAAAAAGAAATCCTTGGCACCCTTGTGCTTATAATCAGACGTATCCTCATGAAGTTAACCACGAGACAAAAGAAATATTTAAATAACCACAACTTGTTCCTATTTGTACTTAAAAACAGTTTTCTAAGAACTTATTCATTCATGGGATGTGGGCGTTGCTGGCTAAGCCAGTATTTATTACTAATTGCTAATTGCTGGGAGAGTGATTTGATACAACTAATGGCCTGCTTGGTTATTTCAAAGGGCAGTTAAGAGTCAACCAATTGCTGTGGGTCTAGAGTCAGATGTAGGTCAGACCAGGGAAGGACAGCAGATTTCCTCCCTTTAAAGACAATAGTGACACAATCAATTTTAGTAAGATTAGGCTATGTTCTTCTGGGGTAAATTGTACCATATGAATTTCAAGTGTCATTCATAGCCTTAATACCCCAGAAGTTCAAAGGTTATAGGTTCAAGTCTCACTTCAGGGACTTGAAGTTAAAGGCAAGGAGATTGGATAGTGTAGTACTGAGGGACTGATGCACTGTCAGAGACACTTTTTATTTTAAAAATATACAATTTTCACAGTGTGGACACAGGCCATTTGTCTCATCAAGTCCACACTGACCCTCCAAAGAACATCCTTCCCAGATTCACCCCCTACCCTATCCCTATAATCCTGCATTGCCCATGGCTAATCCACCCAGTTTAAACATCCCTGGACACTATGAGCAATTTAGCATGGCCAATCCACCTAACTTGCACATCCTTGGACTGTGGGAGGAAACCAGAGCACCCAGAAGAAACAAACACAGACATGGGGAGAATGTGCAAACTCCAGACAGTCGTCCAAGGAATTGAACCCAGTCCCTGGTGCTGTGAGGCAGCTGTGCTAACCACTGAGCCACGGTGCTGCCCTGCTTCCTTTGAAATGAGACATTAAGTCCTACCAGCATTCTCAGGTGGACTTGGATGATCTTGCAGCACTGCTTTGAAGAACACCAGGAAAGTTCTCCCTGGATGTTCTTTTCAATATTTAGCCCCCAGTGACATCTCAGAAACAGATCGTCTGGCAATTATCACAGTGAGATTGCTGTGTGCAAATTGGCTGCACAGTTCTCTCCTTCCTTTCTTCCTTCCTGTAGCCCTTGCTTCCTTTCTTGATGAAACAAGAGCTGGCTCTGGGAACAAGATCAAAGACCTCCCACATTGATACCCAATGTCTTCCCCACATTAGTGCATTGCAGACACAACAATGAGCCCTGGCCTTCTGATGTTACAGCCTATAACATACCTGAAAATTTGCAACAATGCACATTCCAAGGCAGCCAAGTGCTCCACATATTAGTGCAGTTCTGTTTAGTCTGGGACTGATGAGTGGAATCCTCTCAATCAAGGTCTGTAACAGCTTGTATCGAACGTACATAACCATCAAACCTGGGGAAATGATGCAAGAAACACCAATCAGCTGATGAACAGATACTGCAGGTGGTAAGTTAGTTAATATCCAGATTTGCAGAGAGAGAGAGAGAGAGAAACAGAAATATATCTTTCATATCATGGGGTACTGGACAGAAATGCTTTAATTAATAACTATGACCACAGGAAATTGAGATTTTGGTGCAAAAACGTGCACTTGTTCAGGATTTTAAGTACATTACTTATCAATCTGTGGTTCAGCACTTGGGGACTGAAGGCCAGTTTAAAGATCTGAATTCACACAAATGAGGAGCAGGAGCAGACCATTCAGGCCATCAAGACTGCCGTACCATTCAATAAGATCATGGCTGATATATTCGTGTTCCAAATTTCATATTTCCATCTACTGCCGATTATCCTCAATTCCCTGCTTGTCAAGAATCTATCTGCCTCTGTCTTAAGAATATCCAATAATCTCCCTCCAGTGCCTTATGAGCCAGAGAGTTCCAAAGTCACACAAACCTCTGAGAAAAATTATCCTCACCTTTTGTCCTAAGCAGTGTTACAGGATGGGGGATAATTCGACTGAATTAATGCGGATAGTTGGGGTGGCTCTGAGGTGGATATAGACAGACAGAGAAAGAGAGGGGAGTGTCAGTATTGCTCATAAAAAGGCACACAATGTTTGTTTCAATTTTAAAATGGACAGGCTGACTCTGAGCTTGGTAGTTAATGATCTATCATCTAACTGGTGCATTCTCCATGGCAGCACCCCTACTATAAGGCCATTAGACAGAGGAGCAAAAGTAGGCCATTCAGCCCATTGAACCTGCCCCACCATTCAAGGAGATTGTTGCTGATCTGATCATCCTCAATTCCACTTTCCTGTCTTTTCCCCATATCCCACAATTCTCTTCCTGATTAAAAATCTACCTTGGCTTCAAACATTAATGAATCAGGCTTGACAGCCCTCTGCGGTAAAGAATTCCACAGATTCACTTCCCTCTGAGGGAAGAAATTTCTCCTCATTTCTGTCTTAAGTGGGTGACACCTACAGCATGTGCCAGCAGTGGCCTGTATGGTAAACATAGGCGTGTGCCTCAATTGGTTGGTCATGTCTCTAACTAGAAGAAGAGTAGCCCTCAGTTGAGTCTAGGCAGTGTGCAGCCAGTCTGGGCGGGGGTGGGGGGTGTCCTGGTGCAGTCACTCAGCAGAGTGGGTGTCCTGGTATAGTCAAACAGGGACAGCGTCTACAGTCCAGGGGCTTGGGCACAGTCAGTCATCACTTGGGGTCGTCAAGGTCAGGGCTTCAGTTTCTCTACAATCCAGAGAATGGCTTGCAGTCGGTCCTGGAGTGGAATGAACCTTACAGGTGGGTATCAGAAAATACTGTTGCAGTCAGGAGGTGGGGAACTGGAGGCCATGAGGACAGTGAAATGGGGAACTGCGATATGCAAGTGGGGGTGTGGGGGGAGCCAGTAATACCTGGGAGGACATGGGATGTCATTACCGTGACAACCACCTCCACCAGGGGGTGTGGAGCACAGTGATGGACAGTGGCCAAATGTAGGGACAACCCAGGGATGGGGCTAAGGATGAGAGTTGGAGTTTCAGTGCAAGGTGTGGGTGGGATTCAGTCCTAATGGGCTGCCCAGGGGAGTGCCAGGTAGAACGGCAGATTGAAGATTGGAGAAGGGACCTGATGACTAGACCACACCTGCTACTTACTTCCGTGATCTGTCAGTTGGTAAATGCAACCTACAAATGGCAAAGAGCTGGGAGCCTGCACAGAGTGGGTGGGATCCATTTTGGGGTAGGTGACAGACTAGTGGTATTATCACTGGAGTATTAATCCAGACACCCAGGTAACATTCTGCTTGATGGTCAAAAATATGGACTTCTGTGCAATGAGAGTCCTGCCAAGAGGCAATTGCATCAATCTGGCATTACAGAGGACAAGCTGAAATCATTGGCAAGAACATGTGAAATGTATTCCATGTACCAGGGTGTGGGGTGTGAATGTTAGTTCTAAGTGATCTTGACTATGTTATTGGTCCTTGCAATTCGAAGAGAGATATTTCTGTGAAGTTGAAGTTATCACAGGTGACCTTGAAAGGGCCACAATACACACAGCTCCTAGCACTCCTGGAGAGCAGATCCCCACCCCCACCTGAATTGTAATTCTGATGTAAGACTCCCTTCTATGTAAATGTACCTTTGGTGGGTGATTTGGAGCTGGGGGTAGAAGGGATCAGTGCTTGGGTGGCACTTACACTCTGCTGCTACTTATTTGCCTCACAACTAGTGATGCATTCATCAGAATAAGGTTCAACATCAAAGTGCCATGAGGAGTCAATACCTGACCTTCCTTATCAGAGTGTGTGGTGCTGATGTTTTCTCAGGACAGTGACTTCAAAGGAATTTGGGGATTTACATATACATATTAATCAATTAAAACCTTCTAACTGATTCAAGAATTAACAGCATTTTAGGTTTGTTTAGTACATCCTCATCAGTGTTGTGACCATTTGATCTTTTATTTATAAATTCTGTGTCTGATACAACCTCTCTCACTGACACCTGAAGAAGGAGTAAGATTCCGAAAGCTTACATTTTCAAATAAACCTGTTGGACTACAACCTGGTGTCGTGTGATTTCTGACCTTATCAGAATGTCATTAAGGTTTTACGTATGGTGGATTACATTCAGCCTTCATTTGTAAGGGACGTGAATACTGACTGCTCTCATTGCTAAGGACCTGTTCTGTTTCTTCTGCTCCCTACACAGGGTTATGGGAAATGTATAGGACAGATCCAGTCACAGCAGGAGTTGTCATCACTATTGCTGTGATACTTTGAAGGCTGAGAATATCCCAGGACACTGACTGAATGATACCAGCTTCTGGGCTGGGAGCTGTGACCAGGCAGTGCCAGTGGTCACTAAAGGGACAGCCAGGTTGAACTTCTATGTGACTGACTGATTCCAGGGAGCCACTTGGGGAGCCACTGTGGGATCTCTCAGGATTTCCTCCCACAAATGTAGCAAGACTGATACCAAAGCCATAGGTGCCAGATCACGTTGTTTCCCCATGATGAGGTGAGGGCTACAGCCTGTGGAATAAGATGTAGAAAGATAGCCAGCATCCTCTGGGTGCAGGGCACTATAGACTGTACACACATCATACTGAAAGGGCATTCTGTTAACTCTGTTTTCTCTCCATAGATGCTGCCAGACCTGCTGAGTTTCTCCAGCAATTTCTGTTTTTGTTTTAGATTTCCAGCATCCACAGTTTCTACAAACATATCTTTCTGTTGCATTTGAGGGTCCAGATGCATTACAAGGCTGGTTACAGGGGGACAAGGGCTATCTTCTGCAACTATGGCTGATAGCCCTGTTACACAAACCCCTGACTGAAGCCAATCATAGATACCATACTGCCTATTCTTCCACCAGGGCCATGGTTCAGAAGATGATAGGCCTCCTGAAGATGAGATTCCACTGTCTGGGCCAGTCAAGTGGGGCCCAACTGGACAGTCCAAACTACTGCAGCAGGAAAAGAGGAAATGTGATGGAGGCTGAGGAACTGGGAAAGTTGCAGCAGTGTTCCGAGGAGGATGAGAATATTGAGAAGGAGGAACAGCACCCTCTGCATGATCAAATGCAGTGATGGTGGGCACTACAAGCCAGACAGGACCTGACTGGCACCCAGTTCCAGCAGATGAGACCTGGATGCAGTAACCAATCACTGATTGTAACACTGCTAGTGCTCAAAAAGCCCCTGTCTATTTCCAGAGGCAAATGCAGCTTCTGAATGATTTCTATTTCCTTTTGTAAAGAAACATTTGAAGGCTTCCTGTGTGTGATGACACCAAACTCATCTCTGATAAGATGCTGGACTACATTCAGGGAAGTGTAGCATTGACTGAGAGAGACGTTAGGAAGATGGGATGTAGCTAAGGCCCAGTGAGGTGTGTGATCTGCCAGTTAAACTGCCATTCTGTGGGAATATGCAGCTGTATGTACAAGGAAGTGTCAGCTATATCACCTCCATGCCATGAGAAGTGTTGGTTTGTGGTTGCTATGCCACTACTTTGATGATGAAGGGAAACTCTGGACTGCCAACACTTGACCAGGTACACAGCTGGTGGTTAAAGATGGCATTGGTTGCAGGAATGCCAGCATGCCCCAACAGTGACAAATAATTGAGGCTACAGTGAGTGGGAGAATCAGACTGTCAGGTGATGGGGCACCGTAGGGGCAGGCTACACAGTAAAGGAAGCGAGTTTGAAACAGTAGTGTGGGAAAACTCACTAGGCATCACGCAGAGCAAAGCTCCATGAAACTCAGTGAAAACTTTACCAAAATTTGGTAAGATTCAGCCTGGAGTCTTTTCTTCCCAGTAAATAGCATGGATATGTTTAAGGGATAGTTACAGAAACACACGAGGGATAAAAGAAGGTTGGGGGAGGGAGGTGATGAAGGAGAAAGGTTGTGTGCAGGAAGGCAGCTTGTTTTTCTGCTCAAGATTCTGTTTACTATGAGTTACAGACGCTGTGGTTAGTGACCCCCATTTCTCTCTGCTGCATTTACAAACTATGTGGTCTTACTTTTATCTCAATAGCCAAAGTCCCCTCTGGATTTGCCTGTTGCAAATGCGCAGTTTAATTATTCCCGTATTTCCCACATTGCAATCTTATACATTCACAGAAACTGGAGGGAATCCAAAACAAAAACTACCCACAGTTAGCCGGAAAGTACAATCCGAAAGCAAATCATGCTGGGAAAACAAACTGACAATCCTGTACTTACCCAAAAACGCAGAGAGGTTTATCATTAACCCAAATATGCATCTTTCTGGAGGCTGGGTCCCGGTGTCACTACAAGAAAATATTAGAAAAGGATTTTGAATCTACTGCATAGTGTCATAGAAACAGGCCCTTCAGCCCATTATGTCTATAATGATCAAAAAACACCAAATTATTCTAATCCCATTTACCTGCTTATCTCTTCAATAGAAACAAGCAACTGAGTTGGATGACCAGCCATAAGGATGTAATTGCATTGGAGGCAGTCAGAGAAAGTTCACTAATTCACCATGTACAATGAGTGATGATTTAATCCGTTGTCAGGCAGGATAGTTTTGACATGCTCTATCTTAGTGTAACCCTAGGGCCCTATTCACATGGTTGCCAATAAGCAGGACTCCCAATGTGAATATTGACCAGTGAAGGTAGGCTTTCGGTCGATGACAGATAACAGATCATTTTCTGACTTCTCAACAAATACATTGAGGAAGGGGAGTTCATTTGCTCCATTTCAACGTTAAATTTGAGCACAAGATGGAGTTTATTAAACTGCGTAAAGAAATTCTTTGATGTAGCTGCGTAAACATGTTGTCTATATATTAGAAATATTCAAAGGGTTCTGGTCTTTTCATCAAGGAGGCGTTTCAAGCAGCTTCTGATTGTTTGATTTCTGTCTCCTTTGGCGTTTGTAAACACAAGTTAATATTTTAGAGCATCTCATGGTATCCAACAAAGATGTTAACAATGGATAGGCCTAGCGGCAATGCCACCTGTTTGGGTAAGAATAGTGTCATTGAAACTGAGCTCAACTGCACGAGTTGCTAAGTTCATGAGTTTGATGAACAGATTGAGAGGCCAGTGGTGCAAATTGCTAGACATGGTGACAGAGTGCAAATGTCAATGGCTTCTTTGAGTGGCATGTTGGCAAATAAGCTGCAGTATCCAAATTGGACACAGACATGCCATTGGTCTCAATATATAATTGTCGTATGGTCTTAGTGAGTGCATGTGGAACACTCATTTAGAACAGTTTGCTATAGCCACTCAACCACTTGATAAATTCATGTTGTGCAGAGCCTGTCACAGAATTGGACACAAATGGACGTCACTTCAGTGTGTCTTGAGGAGTCCACACATGGATGAGCACGGTGAGCCATGGGATGAATCCTATCATATATGTCACCAGACAGATTACCAGATTGTCTGTACCTCACAGTGCTACAGTGTCTCCACATTTAAAAAATATGCTGCTTTTCTCTTCTTGCTGTTAAACAGCACAAGTTAACATTGTCACACAATGTTCTGTATCTGTCAAATCCATAGATTCCAAATAAGTTGGGGAAAATGAGGAGACATTTCTTCAGACAAATTGTTGTCAAGATCTGAAGAACACAATGTCTATGAGAAAAACCGAAAGAATTGCGGATGCTGTATATCAGGAACAAAAACAGAAGTTGCTGGAAAAGCTCAGCAGGTCTGGCAGTGTCTGTGAAAGAATGTTGCCACACCTGCTGAGCTTTTCCAGCAACTACTGACAATGTCTATGAGGTCGGTGCAATCGGATGGAATAGGAACTTACTGAAGGCGATTGAAGAGGGTTAATGTGGAGGATTATGGGATATGGGGCTATGTTGAACAGCTGAGTCAATGGGCTAAATGGATGTAACATAGGATTGGATTGATTAAAGAACTGTCATCACTTGTTCAATGAAGATGTCTGCCTTTACTGATAATACCTTTTTATTTCACTTTTATTTATTTCTACACCATCCACTGTCTCAACATACCATCGATTTCCTACTTTGCACTTTGTTGACAATGACATAGCACCTGTGATGTGAGACCCATTCTGTGGGGTCCTTCCTCCAACTGACCTGCTGCCTTTTCTCCCCTGGCCCCCTTCATGGGTCTAGTGTCTTTGAATCGGGTCACAGTTACATTTGGGTTTCTGATATGGACTGAGAACAAACCATAGCCTCCAGCACATGGTCCCGGGGAATTCCACTCAATGCTGGACTGACAGATTCAATCCATTCTGTACCCCCTTCACCAAAGGCAGCTCTAACTTTGAAAGCCCATCAGTTTTGGTTTCAATCACAGTATCTTATGTGGAAACGTGACACAGATTTTCTGTAAGTTAATTGCAATGTGATGTTTAGATTTCCACAAGTGAAGTGTCACTTCCTCAAAATAAAAAGCTTAATCACATTAAATCCTGCCTTGCTCATCTGTCCTAATACTCTCTGTCTGATTCAATGTTTTGTCTGATTACGTTCCTTAAGTCTCTTGTTATACTACTAAGGGTGTTATTATTACTTTTAAGGACATCCCGTCAGTCCAAGAACATTTAAGAATCACGTATGGACCAGACCAAGTGAAAATATAAAAGATCAATTGGGGAACCAGGTTCAGTTTTATGATAATCAATGATCACCATTGCTGATCAATTTTCAACTCCAAATCTGTTTTTAATTGAATTTAAATTTCACTAGCCACTGTGGTGGGATTTGAACCTGTGTCACCAGAGGATTAACCTGGATTCCTCATCCAGTGATATTAGCAATAAGCCAGTGCTTCCCAAAATTTTCTCCCATTGTGGCCTCCACTGGTAGTTTTGTGAATAGTTCTGATCCCCCAGTTAGTGGTAGGGGAAGAGAAATCCTATTGAAGCAGGGAGAAAGGGGGTTGTTGAAGAGTCACTGCTGACTCAGAACCTGACACCCTCAAAACGTCAGCTCCTGGCCCCACTTTGGGTTCTGACCCCGACTTTTTGAAGCTCTGACTTAAGCCAAAATCTCCCTTTACCTTTATACAAATTGTGGTTGCTGTGACAAAGAGAAACAGCCATGTCAAATGACCAGACAATCCTCATCTCCAAACGATGTCGATGCAAGGAAAGGGAAAAGGTGAAACTATTGTACTCTTGTTGGAACAGTAGCAGTTGGATGGTTTAGGTGGATGTTTTGTGGCTCAGTGGGTAGGTCTGCTGCCTGAGGGCCAGAAACTCTGGGTTTGAGTCCCATTCCAGGAAGGAGCGTGTGTTCATTGAAACATAGGGAAAACAGGAGCTGGAGTGGGTCACTCGGTCCTTCGAGCCTGCTCCACCATTCACTATGATCACGGCTGATCATCCAACTCAGTCCCCATTCCTGCTTTCTCCCCCATATCCCTTGATCCTTTTAGCCCTAAGAACTATATCGAACCCCTTCTTGAAAACATTCAATGTTTTTGATCTCATCTGCTTTCTATGGCAGAGAATTCCACAGGCTCCCTGCTCTCTGGGTGAGGGCATTATCCTCATCTCAGTACTAAATGGCCTACCCCATATCCTTAGGCAGTGATCCCTGGTTCTGGACTCCCTGGTCATTAGGACATGGGGAGGAGGAACAGGTTGGGTATCAACTTATAAATCTTTCCAGAAAATACAGCAGGCAGTAAGAGCAGGAGAGAGATCTGGTCATCCAACATGTCCATTAAGGTACATATTATCAAAGCACCTTGCATTCCTGGGGACGGGAGGAAGAGATTGGCCAGTGTGAGTCAGGTTGGAACCAACATGGGATTCAACCCTCATTCCTTCTGTGGGTGGATTCGGGACCCGTTCCTGGGGGTGATCACTGAGTGGTGAGTCAGGCCTGTCCTTGGTAGAGATCACTGAGTGATGGGTCAGGCCTGTCCTTGGTAGAGATAACCGAATGATGGGTCAGGCCTGCCTTTGGACAAAGGACTGAGGAAAGGGAGATTCACCTGAGGGGGTAGAGGCTTGATTCTTTAATTGATGAGAGAAGATGCTGCATAATAAAACCATTAGATAGAGGTGCAGAATTAAGCCATTCAGCCCACTGAGTGTGCTCCATCATTCAATCATGACTCATATGTCTCTCAACCCCATTCTCCCACCTTCTCCATCTAACCCTTGACCCCCTTACTAATCAAGAACCTATCTATCACTGTCTTAAAGACACTCAATGGCCTGGCCTCTATAGCCCTCTGTGGTAATGAGTTCCACAGATTCACCATCTTCTGGCCGAAGATATTCCTCCACATCTGGGTTCTAAAAGATCATCCCTTCACTGAGGCTGCAAGTATAAATCCCGTCAGTCACCTCTGTCTGAAATCCGTTTAATCTTTAACTTGAAAATGAAACCTAAGATTAGAGGATTATTTGTGGTAAAGGAAGGGAAAATCTCTGAGCAGTAAACCTGCTCTACAAAGCGCCTACTGAGATGGAGTATATTTAATTGAAGTTTAAACAGCGGAAACCCTTCGAGTTGATTTCCCTGGAGATTATTTTCAAAGAAGGCGCTAGTCCGCAGAGGGGAGAGAGTACAAAGGGCCGGATAATTTGGGAAAGTGAAACTTTTGACAGTCAACTGTTGGAAGGAAGGGGCTGTGAGGAGGAGGCAGGGCAAGGAGCAAAGAGAGAGAGAGAATATAACCGGACCCAGGAAAATTCGGGGCTGAAGCCAAGTTAAATCAGACATGTGATAAGATCGACTTTAACAAAGAAACAAAATAAACAAAAAGTGCTCGAGAAACTAAGCAGGTGTTCAGAGACAGCAAGAGTTTTGAAACGTTAACTCTGTTTCTCTCTCTCTCTCTGTGTGTGTGTCTAAAGATGCTGCTAAGTTTCCGCTGCACTTTCTGTTTCACGATGAACTCCCCCCTCCCCAATCCCAAACCCAACCCCAACTCTTCCCCTCCCCACCTCCCCCACTCGTGTCCCTCCTTTCAGGAAGCTAAAAGGGATTTGGGGAAAAGTGTTGTCCCGGCCCCGGGGCCCTCCCTGTGAGAGGGACGGAGTGGGCGATGCTCACTGACCTGATGAAGGGCACCAGGGGAGGGACATGCCGGGTCAGTACCGCGATCAGGAACGAGATGACAAAGGCAGCGCAGGACCAGATGACCAGGGCTACAGGCAAGCACGAACTCCCGATCAGAAACCACCACATCTGCGCGGATCTTTACGCCGGCAGCTCCGCACAGTTCAATACCAGCGCTAGTTTATAGGCTGCTCCTTCCGGATCTCATGGTGGTCAATGTTCAAGGAACAACAAAAAAAAACCCTGCCCTGAAATTACCACAAACTCAATAGAGTCATCTTGAAATGTCTGGAAAGAATGAGATTTAGCAACTTCCCTTTTCGCTTCTCACGTGATAAATGATTTGAATGCTTTGCTGAACTTCTGGCAAAAGCGTGGGATCTGCGCCTGAGGGGGTGGGGATTAAGATACAACTCCCTCTCCCTCCCCCCATAAACAAGAAAAATTACCCCCATTGACAGCACATCCCCTTCAAGCACGCCCCTTAGTGCTTCACAGGAGAGGGCGCTTGGTGAACAGAGGGCAGGAGGCACTTTGTAAAGTGGGGAGGGGTAAAAGTGATGTCCAAACGAAGCAAGGGTGAGATGAGGAAAAACTTCTTCACCCACCGAGTCTAAGAGGGAATGCACTGCCTGGAAATGTGGTGGGGGCACGTTCAATTGAGGCATTAGATGGTTCTTGGACAAATTATGTTCAGGGCCATGGGGAAACACCCTAAGATACAGGAGCAGAATTAACCCTTTCAGCCCATCAGGTCTGCTGTGCCCTTCAACCATGGCTGATATGTTTCCCATCAACTCCATTTCATAGAATAGTATCCCTACGGTGTGGAAACAGGCCATTCGGCCCAACAAGTCCATACTAACTCTCTGAAGAGCACCCCACCCAGATTCACCTCCCTACCCTATCCCTGCATTTCCCACGGCTAATCCACCTAAATTACATGTCCCAGACACCATGGGCAATTTAGAATGTCCAATCCACCTGAACCTGCACAATCTTTGGACTGTGGGAGGAAACCCACGCAGACACAGGGAGAATGTGCAAACTCCACAGACTGGAATCAAACCCGGGTCCCTGGTACTGTGAGGCAGCAACGCTAACCACTGAGCCACCATGCTTCCCCATTTTTCTCCCTTCTCCCTGTAATCCTTGATCCCCTCACCAAACAAGCACATATGTATCTTAGTTTTAAATACACTCAGTGACCTGGCCTCCACAGCCCTCTGTGGCAATAAATTCCACAGATTAACCATTTTGCAGCTGAAGAAATTCCTTCTCATCTCAATTGTAAAGGGTCATCCCTTCACTCTGAGGCTGTGCCCTCGGTCCTAGTCTCTCCTACTAGTGAAGTACGAGATTGAGGAGGTGAGTAGGAGAGTAGGAAAGACAGGAGATTGGCACTAGTGCAGACATGATAGGCAGAATGGCCTTCTTTTACAGTGTGGTAATTCTGTGATTAAAAAGCAGCTAAACTGATTATCATATTGCGGTTTGTGGGAGTTTTCTGTACATGGGTTTGTTGCCCAGTTTCCCATATTGCAGCAGTGATGACATTTCAAAAGTATTCCATTGGCTGTAAAACCCTTTGTAAAGTTCTAGGGTCAGAACGGCACTACAAGAATATAAAACTTTCCATCTTATTGTCAGGTAGTGGGACAAGAAAATAAATATACCTAATGACTAGTTACCCTCATTTATTAACGTTCACTCATGGGACATGGGTGTTGCTGGCTGGGATTTAATGCCCGTCCCTATTTGTCTATGAGAAAATGGTGGTGAGCTGCCTTCTTGAGCCACTGCAGTCCATGTGTTGTAGGTAGACCCACAATGCCATTAGGGAGCGAATTCCACGATTTTGACCCAGCGACAGTGAAGGAATGGTGATATATTTCCAAGTCAGGATGGTGAGTGGCTTGGAGGGGAACTTGTAGGTGGTGGTGTTCCCATTTATCTGCTGCCCATGCCCTTCTAGATGGAAATGATCATGAGTTTGGAAGGTGCTGTCTAAGGTGAATTTCTTCGGTAAATGTCTGCAGTGCATCTTGTAGATAGTACACACTGCTGCTACTGAGCATCAGTAATGGAGGGAGTGATTGCTTGTGGATGTAGCGCCAATCAAGTGGGCGGCTTTGTCCTTAATAGTGTCAAGCTTCTTGAGTTTTGTTGGGGCTGCACCCATCCAGGCAAGTGGGGAGTATTCCATCACAGTCCTGACTTGTGCCATGTAGATGGTGAACAGGCTTTGCGGAGTCAGGAAGTGAGTTACTTGCCGCAGTATTCCCAGCCTCTGACCTGCTGTTGTAGTTGTTATATTTATCTGATGAGTCCAGTTGAGCTTTTGGTCAATGGTAACCTCCAGGATGTTAATAGTGTGGGATTCAGTGATGGTAACACCATTGAATGTCAACAGCCAGTGATTAGATTGGAGATGGTCATTGCCTGGCATTTGAGTGGCATGAATATTACTTGGCACTTTTCAGCTGAAGCCTGGATATTGTCTAGGTTTTGTTCCTTTTGAATATAGGCTGCTTTAGTAAGACTTGGACAATATCCAAAGTCTTGTCTTTCCTGGGTCAACACCAGATTTTGATTAAACATATCAGTGGTCTAATGATAATCTCCTTAAAAACATGGTTTTCAGCGAACCCACTCCCCCACCCCCACCCCCATTTCTTTGGACAACCTTTGATAAATGCCAAAGCAAAGAATATGGCAGCAAATTGTGAATGCAACTGGAATGTACCACAAAAGGATACAGCAGAGCTGGGGGGAAGGGGGTGGGGCGGGGGATCATCATTCTGGGCTAATCTGTTAGCAGGAAACCATGCCCCCCCCCTCCCCCGACCCTGGGTGACTTAGGAGAAATACCCCTTGATCTGTCCTGTCTACATGTGCTCAATGTGTTGACCCTCAGCTACCGTGAGCTGGCTGACAGCGGAGGATGTGAAGTAGGTGGTGCATTTAGTGAGGGGGTGGGGGCAGGGACAAACACAGTGAGATGTTCAGGAATTACCTAATGTCAGCAGTCGAGCAATTTTCAGATTGTTTATTGAGTTTGTTAAGAAGGAGCAGTTTAGATATGATACGTTGATTAATTAGGCAAAGAAAAGAAATGTATGACCTGTGACAGATGGCATGCTTTACTGATCCCAAAGTTGTTCTGTCAAATACAGAAGTATAAACAGCAGATCCCTACAGTATTGGACTGATGGAGTACAGGCCTCAGGTGGCTTGCAGTGTTTTGGAGGTAATTTTTGGGAGTAACAGTCTTTGTCCTTCCCTCGGCTTGAAGTCCCACCTCCTCCCCCGATAACCTTTCACCCGCCCACCCCTCACTTATCAAGAATCTATTGACCTCTGCCTTAAAACTATTCAAAGACCCTGCTTCTGCTGCCTTTTGAGGGGGAGAGTTCCAAAGACTGTGTGAGAAAAATATTTTCCTCATCTCTCTCTCAAATGGCTGACACCTTTCTTTTAAAACCATGACCCCTAGGGTTAAATCTTCCCAGATCCTGGACAATGTGAGTGAGAAATTAAGGTAAATCAGGTGAGATGTCGAATGAGGTCCTTCTCTCAACATCGAGACTAAAATGGCGCATTTTATATCCATGTCCTGTACATGCAGTTGAGATTCTTGCTAATAAGCAGCGAGAGACCAATTAATGAGAATGATTGCTAATTATCAGCCTCATTCCTATGCCATCTTTACCTTATTTATGTGCAAGCTCACAATCTCTGCTGATTAGAATTGTGACACCTAGAATTTCTGACATGAGAGTCTGGGATGTACCTGGTGACTCCAAGGTCATGGCTTACTCCTGTGGGCCTGCACCTTGAACACCCAGCACCAACATCTCAGGGCACATTCCATGGGCAGTGACTGCATGCATCCATGTTCCTGGACGTTGGCATTTGACACATGCCATTGTGACGGCCTATTGGTATTATGGCTAGACTATTCATCCAGAAACTCAGCTAATGTTCTGGGGACCTGGGTTCGAATCCCGCCAAGACAGATGGTGGACTTCGAATTAATAAAAAAAATCTGGAATTAAGAATCTACTAATGCCCATGAAGCAATTGATGATAAAATCCATCTGGTTCACCAATGTCATTTAGGGAAAGAAACTACTGTCCTTACCTGGTCTGGCCTACATGTGACTCCAGACCACCCACTGGTCAATTAGCAATAGGCAGTAAATGCTGGCCTAGCCAACGATGCCCTCATCCTGTGACTGAATTAAAAAGGTATTTGGTTGGCTCTCGACTGAAATTGCCTAGCAAACCACTCAGTTGTATCAGTCACTACTTGGGACATTAACTGCTGGCCAGCCAGCAATGTCCATGTCCCATAAGTGAATTAAAAAACAGCCTCTCTTCACCCTCCTGGCTCTTCTCCAATCAACTACAGTATGCCTCTGCACCAGTTGGCTGCACTTTAGAGTTTACTGGCGCCTCTCATTACAATGCTGCTGCAAGGACAGTCTGTGTGCAGGGACAGGACCCCAGCTTACACACTCAGAGCAGCCCTCCCTTACCTTGCATTTTTCCACTTTGATCAGCCCCAGCCTGAATTTAAAGGTTCACAGCATTGCAGGCTCAGTTCAACACACACTGATAGCCAGGAAGTTTGTAAGCTGTTGTCAGAAGTCATCAGTCAAAGGGGTGGACACTCTATGGCATGGCACCATCCTATCACAACGTCACACTTACAACATTCGCTGAAGCCTATACATCAAACACCTTGTGTGTGCATCAACTGAATGGGCAGAAGTCCTCAGTCATGGTTAGGGGCTTCTGGGGCACAGTCACTCAAGGGGGCTGAGTGGTATCAGTCAATGGGATTTTCACTCAGTTGTTCGGGACAGTCAGGGTCAATATCCTCTCCTCATTGGGAGTAAGGAGCTGAATGCTGAGCACCTCACCACCCATCCTAGCTCTTCCTGCCCTGCTGTGGGTCATTATTGCCTGGAATGAGACAACGGGGGTGGGACGGGATCTGATTGGGATAAAATGGCTGGCACAGCTGCTGGTGCAGGTAGGGCAAAGGCGGTGACTCAAAGGGCAAGAGATGCAGAACCTTTAACTAACTTTAAGGCAGAGGGAGATAGATTCTTGATGACGAAGGTGTTGAAAGATTATTGGGGGATATGCAGGAATGTAGAGTTGAGGTTACATTCAGATCAGCCATAATCTTATTATTGAATGGCAAAACGGTGAAAGGGCCGATTGGCCTACACTTGTTGCTTGTTCGAATGTTTGGAATTGAGTGAGCAGGCATTGCCAAAAGCAGGAAAGGTTAGTTGTGTGAGAT